GGTTTGGCCTTTTTTTTTTTTTAAATCTATGGTCCTTTATAGAAAATGAAAGGATTAGTCGTTAACTAATCAAGGAAGAGGAATGTGTGTGCTCCTTTTCTAAAGATTGTTTTTACTTTTTATTATGAAATATTCTAAATTATAGAAATTGGTATAATAAACAGCAATGTACCCATCATGGACTTTAACAGTTGCTAACATTTTGCCTTATTTACTTCTGCGTGCGTGTGTGTTGTGTGTGTATATATATATTTTTTTTTTTGACTGAGCGATTTTAAAGTGAATTACAAGCATTATGACATTTAATTTCTAAATTCTTTAGTTTACACTTTCCAGAAATACAGTTCCTATATAATCATAGTCATTCTAACAAGCTAATTTATGGATTTGTTTAATTGCAGTGAAGCAAATATTGTACTGAGTTTAAAATTAGAGAGAATGTGGAATCTTTTCTGTATAAAATTTTGGAGAAGTATTGCAAAATTTTCTATTGTTAAATTTTTAAATAGTAAATTTTCTAATAGAGAAGATGAAGATCTTAGAATATTCTTTTATATTCAGTTAATTTATGTTTTAAAATATTTTGTGTTATATAATAATTTGTGGTCATTGAATGAAAATTCTTACTACCCAGAGATTTGTGACCACTGGTAACTTGGTATACACAAATTCTTTCAGAACATGTATCAAACTTGTCTATGAAAGTAAAGCGATGTCATACACGTATTTACCCACATACAAATGTCCAGGCAATGTGTGTTTTAACAAAACTGATATTGCATTCTATATACTGCTCTACAATTTGTTCTTATCACATAAAATTATTTTTAAGTCAACAAATACCAATCTGTATTAGTTTTTAAAGATGCCTAGAATTCCACTACATAAATATTCCGTCATTTATCAGTCTAGCTCTTACTGGTAAGCTCTTAGGCTGTTCCCATTTTCCCCTTTATTAATTGCTATGAGACACCCTGTGCATACATCTTTGAGTGTGCTTTTATTATTTCTTTAGTAATACTTTTCCAGTAGTAGAACTATTGAGCAAAAATATGCTAGGCCAGTTTCTGTTTGTTCATTTGTTTTAGAGTGTTTAGTAAAAAAAAAAAGAAACATCTATCATATTAGTTAATAATTCCATTGCTTCCAATGACTTTGGAAAACGAGAAACAGAATGCTTTATTTCATGCCAAATGTGATGCAAGGAAGAAAATGTTTTCTCTCAATATTCGTAGATACATAGACTCTTGAAAAGTAATCTGCATTCTCTCTTCGCTTAAGAGAATAAAACTGGCTGAATGTTAAGTTAAAATGAAATTTCTATGACTGTTGTTTTCATTCCTCACCATCTCTTTTTCAGTTTTGCTGCAAGATGACATCACCAAAGCCATACAATGTGCAAAGAGGGTTGTCAGGGACCCACAAGGCGTTAGAGCATGGTATGTTTTTTTTTCTTCCAGTTTTATTGAGATGTAATGGACATACAGCACTGGATAGTTTAAGGTATACAGCGTAATGATTTGACTTACATACATCACAGTAGGTTTAGTGAACACCCATCCCCTCAGACTGTTAGAGCAGGCAGACAGCTAGATGTGAGCAGAGAAGGGGGGATGCAGGCCAAATGGCAGGACGTGGCAGGAAAAGGAGGGGCCGGGGCCAAATGCAGGAAACCCTACATCATGTAAACAACAGGGGTCCCTGGGCAGAGAAAGAAAAGTAGGAACCTCTGGGCTGATGAGCGGTCACAAATTTTAGAGTGACAAGTGGTTGGGAGGATGACAAAGAAAGGTGGGAACAGGCAGGAACCTCCAGTGTCCAAATGTAACCTTTTGCTCATTATGCCCTCATTACCATAAAATTAGCCTTGCAGATTAGAAGTACCCATCATGCACCAAAGCCATGACATTTCCCAGCCACAGTAAATAAGGACAAAAATCCCTCCTCCCTATGGGAAGGTAGAGTTGGGATGAAAATCAGGGAATACGACCCTAAACCAATTCCTCCACAATGAATATTCCGCCCACTCATTTTCACACTCTATGTAACTGATCTGCCAGCGAAATCAGGGCACTAACTTCCCTGAGACTGCTTGCTGTCCCCGTGAGAGTGTACTATCTGTCCCTTAGTAAATCCTCGCTTTACTTTCTTAGATTCTCATCTCTGAATTCTTTCTACCAGGAGACAAGAACCTAATCACCAGCAACAATATGGATACAAAATTAAAGAAATAGAAGAAAAAAATTCTGTGTGTTGCCTTTAGGATTTACTCTCTAACAAGTTTTATACATAACATGTAGCAGTTAATTATATATATAATTTATTGTATTTATTATATATATAATTTATCAGTTTGTACATAACAGCTCCAGTATTTATCTTACTATA